GCATCTTCATCGAAGTGGCCGAGCACGGGAGGGGAAGAGAGCCGGTGCTGTAGTTCCGCAAAGGCAGTCTGCTGTTCGTCAGCCCAGAGAAATGGTGTGTCATCACGCGTGAAGCGTAATAGTGGCTCCGCAATGTTAGAGAAATTTTCAATAAAGCGCCGGTAATAAGCGCACAGACCCAGAAATCGTCGAAGACTTTTCTTGTCAGTTGGAGGTGGAAAAGCGGTGACGGCAGCAGTTTTGTCAGGATCAGGCCGAACACCAACGGCACTCACGACATGACCAAGAAACTTTAGTTCTTCGTAGCCGAAATGACATTTCTCAGGCTTGAGTGTGAGATCGGCCGATCTAATGGCTTCGAGCACATTCCGAAGGCGACGAAGATGCTCGTCAAACGTTTCTGAAAACACAACGACATCATCGAGGTAGACGAGACAGCTTTTCCACTTGATGTCTGCCAGGACGGTGTCCATCATTCACTGGAATGTGGCTGGAGCGGAACAAAGGCCGAAAGGGAGCACTTTGAATTCATAAAGGCCGTCCGGCGTTACAAAAGCGGTCTTTTCCCGGTCACGTTCATCGACCTCTATTTGCCAATAACCGCTCTTCAAGTCGACGGACGAAAAATACTTCGCGCGTCGCAGCTTGTCCAGAGAATCATCGACTCTGGGCAACGGGTTCATGTCTTTCTTTGTGACATTGTTCAACTTTCTGTAGTCAACACAAAACCGAAGCTTGCCATCTTTCTTTTTCACAAGAACGACCAAGGGCTGCTTGAAGGCCGTATCACGCCACCCTGAAGCATTTACTTAACTTGCGTTTGAATCGCGTGCCGTTCGGTTGGCGAAACACGGTAAGGCTGCTGCCGTATGGGATGCGCGTCGTCGTAGGCGATAATACGGTGTTTCGTTATTGGTGTTTGACGTATCTTTGAAGAACGTGCAAAAGATGTGTGGAACTCCAGCAACAGCTCGCTCAAACGCCGCTTGTTCGCTTCAGAAAGCGTTGGATTGATGTCGACGCTGCGGAAAGGCGCTTCAGCAGTGCCGATGGCCTTGGAAACAAAACACTCTGTGACATTGGCGACTGGGTCGGCGTAGGCGATGACCGTTCCAGGAAAAAGGTGCCGGTGTTCGTAGCTGAAGTTTGTGACAAAAACGTTGCAGTGATCATCACGAAGGTCGACAAGGCTTCTCGCTACGCAGACACCCTGAGACAGCAAAAGCGAGTGATTGCTTTCTACGACCGCTTCACCGTGCATCACTCCGTCCCATGCCGCCTGAATCACAACAGTTGCACGGGGTGGTAACGTGACAGCGTCGTCGACGACGCGAAGAGACACTCGGGAGTGGCTGGGGTCGGCGTAAACTCTTGTGGCGTTTGTGGTCGCGAAAGTGACTAGACGTCGTCGAATGTCAATTATAGCACCATGCTCCCTGAGAAAATCCATGCCAATGATCAGGTCTCGAGAACACTGCCTGAGAACGCTCAAACTGGCAACAAATGTACAACCACGGACTTGCAGTCTTGCCGTGCACATACCGAGTGGCGTGATGATATGCCCGCCAGCTGTACGAATCGGCGTTCGGTTCCAAGGCGTCGTTACTTTCTTGAAAAGGGCGGTTAGCTTTTCGCTAATTATGGAATAGTCTGCACCAGTGTCCACTAAGGCGCTGACTTCGCGAACATCTCGCAGAACAGGAATATCTAAGGAAACTCTTCCGCAATCAGCCGGTGGTGTCGTTGTCGATGTATCGTCGGTATCTTCAGTCCGCGTCGATAGGGGGTCTTGAGCATGACCAGTCTGAGCGGCCTTGCCCCTGAAGGTCGCTGAGGCTAGTTTTCCCGACGCGGGCTTGGTGACCGGCCCTGCGCCATGCCCGCATAGGTGTGATGATTCGGCGGGAACCGCCGCGGTGATGGAGAGCGTGAGTGGTGCCGAGATGTCAATCCGCGCTGCTGAGCAACGTAGTCAGCGATTTCCGGAGGCCGCTGGCCGAACCTAGGAGGTGGGGAGTTGGCCGAAAAACCACGAAGTCCCAGCTCTCGATAAGTGCACTGTCGGTAGATGTGCCCAGGTTCACCACAGTGATAGCAAAGGGGACGTCGATCGGGGGCCCGCCACATGTCCGATTTTCGCGGAATCGGTCGGCGGTCACTGAGGTACGGGCCCGCTTGGACTGCCTGAAGCATGGCTGGAGCTGTGGTATAAGGCGGACTGAAATGTGGTGCAGGTGGGCGCAGAGTTTGACCTGCCGGAAGCACGGCAGGGGCCGCGGTGGGAAGCGGAGGCAAAGGTGGTGCTGGCTGGAGCAGAGTTTGCGCATACGACATGCGAGGGAAGTCATTTAGCGGCCGCGGCTCTGTCTGCCAGGATGGTTCTCGTAGTGCCTGCTGAACTTCATCTCGGACGATGCCGGACAAAGAACTGACAGTGGCCGCCGAGGGTACAGATAACTTCTGCAGTTCTTCGCGAATTACAGAGCGTATGAGCTCTCGGAAGAAGTCGACGTGGGCCCCAAACCACCCATGTAGTCCGTAGCAGAAACAAAGTTCACTTGTCGCTCGTACGTCTGGGTCCGTTGCCGAGGCGTGCTTTCAATCAGGACGGCTTCAGCAAGAAACTCTGACGTAGTCTTGGGGGGGCTGCGTACAAGAGCACCGAACAACTGCTCCTTCACTCCACGCATCAGGTATCGCACCTTCTTCTCTTGAGGCATGTGAGGGTCGGCTCGTCGAAAAAGACGCGTCATGTCCTCAACATACATTGCTACGCCTTCATTTGGCATTTGCATACGGCACTGGAGTTCACGTTCAGCTCGCTCTCGACGATCGGGACTTGCATACGTTTCGAGAAGCCGGCGTTTGACGTCCACCCATGACGTGAACACACCTGCCCAGTTTTCGTACCAAACACGTGCCCCGTCATTCAAACTGAAGTAGACATGTCGGAGCTTGTCTGTGTCATCCCACATGTTATGAGCAGCAACGAAGTCATAGTGGACTAGCCAATCTTCAACATCCTCATGGACAGCACCATGAAAGGGATTCGGCGTTCGTGGTTTGAACAGTGTATATTGCAATGGCGTTGCGCCTTCCATACCGGCTGTGTTGGAGCCGCTTGGGACGGCGCTGCCTGGAATAGTTGGGGCCGTCATCTCTTCTGAGAAAAGTCCGAACTCAGGGTCCAGTCCACGGATCCTGCGGCTAGCACGGTGAACAGGCGTAACCACCGGTATGGGGCTGGAGCTTCTTGTACTGGGAGGGGTTCGGTGCATAGGGTGCCCAGCACCTCCACCAGTTGTCACGCGCTAAGAGCTCGAACGAACGTACAAAGGGACGTGACTGTACAAAATCTAAGAGACAAAGAAGGACGTCTCCGCTGGCACAGGTTGCTCGTCTTCGTCTTCCTCGTTCACCGGCACAGAAACGACCCACTGTTCACTGGCACAGAACACCAGGTGGCAATACAATAATTTCGCAACGTACACTATTACGACATTTACTTTTTCATACTTGTCGAAAAAGATCGAAAAGCCCCTTTTTGGATGAGAATATACATCTTTTTGGATAATATTATGGCGTCCCACTGGTAATGAGAACAAGTGCCTCAAGACGAAAAAAAACAAGAAACAAAATTGTATTGCAAAAATTAAAATACGCAGCCAAGCCTCTATAAGACCTGCAGGTGACAAATAAAGTGCTCTCCCTCTCGTTAAAAAGGATAAATCCCTTATTAGTATCTTACAATGTTACCGGAATTTGCAAACGAAGACTGTGCAACGATTGCAGTGACCTGCGTGCGCACGGTAACTACAACAGAATCGTTCCAACCAAATGCATGTTGCTGACCGTTGCCTGAAGTTAGTCAGGCTTTTTTGTGCTGTACAATATTATTCAATTAGATCTGTTTAATTAACACAGTTTTGAAGAAACGAAGAAGGATTTAAAATTTCATTGAAAAAGTTGTACATCGGTTCGCAACTGTCTGATCAGACAGTTTCGAACTTTACATATGTTAATTATTAGTGTATTTTTTTGATAACTACAAATGCCCGCGAAATGCAAAACAAATATACCATATGACAAACCTGCTTGCGCGCCAGTGCGCACGATGATGCTAGTGCTGCCTAACGTTCCACTTACGAACGGCCATAGCATTTGCTCGATTGTGCTCTCTCGACAGGGCCGCACCGATGGCGGTGGCTTTGCGATAAACTCAAGTCCTCACGTCATAAGCACCCTTCATTTCTTCTGGAATACTGGTACAGAACTGACTGTTTTTAATTCTCATTTTTCCCACAAGCCATTAGAATATGGAACAGTCTCCCTACACATATAACTACCTGAAATATTGAAGAGAACTTCATGTCACTCCTTGAAAATTATCCATGGAATTTCCAATCATGAACTGTTTGCATAGCACTAACTTTGTCGTTTTGATTTGTGTTATGACATCATTTTCATCTTTTAAAGACATATTCTCACATTACATACGTTTCCTATAGTATACACTACTTTTATCCTTATTATTTTCTTGTTCTTCTAGCTTCCTTTCTTTTTAATGGCACGTTTTTTTTGTAGCTTTGTAAAAGTGCAGTTTTATACTCCTATATGTGCTCGTAAATAGTGTTTATGTCAAAATTGCTTATATTTCTTGCATATTGTTATCCCTAAAATGTTCACTTTTGTATACCTTACCTAATGTATGCCCGCCTGGCGGAAAATTCTCGTTGAGATTGGCAGTATGTATACAATAAATAAATAAGTAAATAAGGATCAACGAGTCTAAGGGGAGACTTTCTCGCCGCTAGGAGGTGCAATTATTTTTTTTAGAAGTTATAGGAGGTCCACTTTGTCTCTTAGAAGTTTTGATTTATGTTCAATTGTTATTGCGCCCCATACAACATATTTTTTCCAGCACGTGACAAAAGAACAATACCTATGTTACATCCAGCAAATCATTGTGGACGCCCATGCATGTGTAATATACCGTCTATTGCCGTCCAGCTGCTTTCACAACACCATGCGTGGATCGTTCGCAAAACTACTGCGCTATCTTTCTCGAAAAGCTAGAAGCAATGAGGATAGCCTTTCTTGCCCTTGCAGTGGTCGCCGTCGCATTCGTATGCCTGAAAATACAGATTGCTGGAGGAGGTGAGTACAGTTTATGCCATATTTGGGCACCTTAGATACGTCAAATTTTAGAAGTTCTCTCATGATCTATAAAAAGAGGTAGGCTCGCTTGTGTTTCCATTGGCTACATTTACACATCGAGAAATGTGCCCCGCCGCGGTGGTCTAGTCGCTAAGGTATTCTGCGGCTGACCCGTAGGTCGCTGCATCTAATCCCAGCTGCAGCAGTTTCGATGGAGGCGAGAATGCTGCAAGCACGTATGCTCAGATTTGGGTGCACGTTAAAGAACCTCAGGTGGTTGAAATTCCCGGAGCCCTCCACTACGGCGTCTCTCATAATCATATGGTGGCTTTGGGACGTTAAACCGCAAATATAAATCATTAATCAATTGTGACAAAGCAGCTCCAAGCCCCGCGAAGACAACGGAGCCGAAAGTACGAGGATTAGGCAAATTCTTGTACTACCCATAATTCCCATGCTCGCTGAATCGCCATGTGTTGCAGTTCCCAAAGACACTAGCGCCATAGTTCCCTCTAGTGTATATTAGGAAACTATGGCAGCTGCTACTAGGCTTTCAGCTAAAACCTTTTATGCTCCCTTCTTTAACCATCGGATCACACGTGAAGAGAAGGTAGTGCCACTGTTCTGCTCAATATGAACGAAGAGTATTGGTATATTTCAAGTTAGACAAGATGTTAATAATAATGTACATCATTTCAACGCTACTGTAGAGTGTTCACAGCGTATACTAGTAAAAAGTCACGTAATCTCCATTCAAGGCGGATGAAAAAAAATAACACTTTGTCTCCATCAAGTAAGTTGGAACTATTTACTGAGTGAGGCGGAAAAAGTTCTGTGGAGCGAACAAGTAAAAATGTTTACGTAAACTTGTGTTTAAAGAAAGAAAGAGAGTTTGTTTTAAGCCATACACTATACGTTTTCGTTAGGAGCATTATCACAATACGTATTTTCGAGTAGTTGGCGGTTGATGATATATGGGGTTTAATGTCCCCAAACCACCATATGATAATGAGAGGCGTTGTAGTGCAGGGCTTTGAAAATTTGGACCACCTGGGGTTCTTTAACGTGCACCCAAATCTGAGCACACGTGCCTACAACATTTCCGCCTCCATCGGAAATGCAGCCGTGGCAGCCGGGATTCGATCCCGCGACCTGCGGGTCAACAGCCGGGTACCTTAGCCACTAGACCACCGCGGCAGGCCAACTTTTAGTTCTCTTGGCCGTTTTGATGATGATATTGATACCAAACTTGGTATATCATATTGTCACGTGCTATTCATATTATGACTGTATGACGAGCATAAGTTACTAGTCATAACATGAAAGTCATGGCATGTATGTCTTGAATGTCATGATTTACAGCGTATATCATTGTTTTGCTACTCTTGCGGTGGTTTCGCTCACATGACATATTGAAAAACCGGTATGATATGACATGACTACCTGGCGAACATAAGTGACAGACCTTAACGTGGAAACATGATATCCATGTCATGATTTCCATGTCATGTAAGTGATGACTACACGCCACACTTATGATGCACTCGCGGCCGTTTCGCTAGCTTCGCATATACCAATTTCGGTAATAAGTGGCGCAAACCGACGACGAAGGTAAATGACACGTACAGACATGATAATCATTACATGCGTGCCATGCAAGAACATGACTGCATGCCACGCTCACCATGCGCTCGCGGCCGTTTTGCTAGCTCCACATATGTCAAATTTGGTATCACGAGCCAAGAATAGACGGGGATAGTGAATGAGACGTCCAAACTTGATAATCATGATATGGAAGCCATGTAGGGCATAATGTAGGTCTACCTCGTAACGTTGTGCTGATTTTAAAGTTATATATCAACCATCCTTATTCGTGCTTCGCATATCATGGAATCCCACTGTACGCGGGATTCCCCCCCCCCCCCCCTCTTTTTTTTTGAAAGGCGTTGTGGCTATGGTGCGCTGATCCGCAGGTCGTGGGTTCAAATTCTGGCGTGGCGGCCGCCTTTTCGATGGTGGCGAATATCCTTGTGCCCATATTAGGTTAGGTTAGGTTAGGTTAGGTACCCCGTTAAGGTACCCCAGTGACGTACAAATTTACGGAGCCTTCTACCACGGTGTTTCTCGTAATCATATGGCAGTTTGTAATGTTGAACCCCAAAAATAATAATTGAAGTTTGATTTTATGAAATATAGTGCATCCTCTATCTGTGCGTTACATTAACTTTTAACCATGGTATATATATAATTTTTGCAGTGCGTATGAAGGTACCCCGCCTTAAGCTACCCAAGGCTTCAAGATTTCGTGGTGAGTGCCGTTTCAGAGATTCATGCAACAAGATTTCCCTATCGCCGCCGCCATGACGTTCCATCTAAAAGCTTCAATTTCGCTAAGAGCGCGGACCACACACTACCTTCTCTGCGTCATCAAGTGTGCGTTCAAAAGCTTAAGTGAACTGAGGTGCCACACGAACGTATTTTGTACAGTTTATTTTTTTAAAGACTTCACCAATGGTATAAACTGCATGCGAATATTTTCGGTGTTTAACCACAGAAGTTTTGTGACATTGTCACACCATGCCTGTTTAGTTTGCTTCTTTGTGTACAATTTTACGTTGAGTGTTCACTTTCTGTTTATTTATACATTGTTAGGCTACAGCTTGACCCCGTAGTAATAATGCGTTGCATAGAGACACATGTTGAAGGAAATAAATAGTTAATGATATGGCTACTTAATGTGTCATTAGTCGTGTGATTAATGAAATGTTATAGAAAGATATACCACACGTTCCATTCTCTAAACACAACATTGCTAGTAGGCGACACGCTTCTCTAATTTCCGTGCTTGTCTGCTTGTTCGCTTTTCCCGAAAGAAACAGCTGATACCCCCCTTCCCCCCCTATATGGCAGTTCTATCACCTCTCTTTCAATTTTCAGAAACTAAAAGCGCACGGAAAACACTGACAAAGTAAGACGCATATATATACGCACACGCAAGTCTGCTTCCCACAGATTTGTTTTTGCAAAACCACTGCTACTTATAAGCACACAATCAGTCCATATAATTGCGCAGTAGTTAAGGGCCCCTGAAATATGACACATTAGAAATGGCGTCTCACTCAGAAAATCTAAGTCTCCTTTATTGATAATCTCTGTTTTTCGTTCGCGTGTTTCCATGCGCTTTTGTTTTTAGCAAATGATTTACCAACATGCCAAAACTGCCAACATGACCTCGTGCATGCTTAAAAAATAATATTTGGAACAATTATTCTGTACATACCTACAGCCTGTTGCGTTACAATGAATGCATTAGTTGCGGATAGTGTAGCTTCTTAGCAGTAGTTATATTGAGAAGTCTTACAAAGAGAAGTTATTTACATGGAGTCGCCGAGGTCACATGGACCTGAACCTCTTAACAGCAAAACAGTTAGAACAAAGCAGAGTATAATGATAAAATGTTCAACAGTTGAAAGATAGAGATAATATGAAGACGTTAATATAGAAATTGTTCAAAAAATAAAAAAGGTGCAGCACTTTAAATTGAGATGACCTAAAGCAATTTCCAAGAAGGGAAACCTATCTAGGGATCCTCTTAATCACATCCCTAAAGACATTGTTCTATGTGGATTTGTGTCTCTAAATAACTAATTAAGTACGGATATAATGATGTGGTGCAAAATTTTGTGAATACAGCCTTTACAGTACAAACGTTTCACTGATATTTCAGTTCCTAAAGTAAAGATATCACGTATGCACATGCCGAAAGTTAAGGGTGAGTACACAGAGTCACTATTTAACGCGTGTTATCAATAACGGTCACTTGGCAAAATAATGGGAAGAAGGTTCTTACTGCATTGCGGGTAATAGGCTTTCGCCAATCCTCATTCAATGTAGCTTCGCGTGGGTGTCACTGGTTTGGAACAGGCACACGTATGCTCTTGACGTTGCACAAATATTGCTTTTTCAGTAATAAAGCCTATCATGCAAGTTGTGCATTGTTCAGTGTGTGACGCAATGTGTTGCCCCAAGCCCAAAGTTTTATCACGTCTGGTCCTTTGGCGTAAGCGGCGTGGGTTTGAATTGTGTGCATGCATGAGTAATTTACCGATCACGACGTTTTCTGACAAAGCTGTCGTGGAACTGGTTTTTTGACGTCCTTATTACGTCCTTGCGTTCTTGAACAGCGCAATACTAGCAGAGCGGTGAACCAGCTACACTTTTTTTACAGTGCTGCAGCTATGACTAGGGTTTCACGTATTTCTTTTCAGTGCGTGAAAAAAGAAATCACCTTCGTACTAGAAATTGCAAAGCAGAGTAGCCTTCTCTGTTTCTAAATCTCTCTTCTTTCTCTTTTTCTTTTCTTTCTGTTTTTTTCTACTTCTTTCTTGCCTCTGTCCATTTCTATGTTTTGTTTATTCTGTTTTCTTTATATCTCTCCGCTGCGGTCTAAAAAAGTGACGTACAGTCCGTTACAACCTAATAAAAAAGTTCGAGTTCTGCCCTTGAGGCCGTGCTGCGCTTTTCTTAAATGCCTACTCGCTACGATGCCGTGCTGCAACTTGCCACTCCCAAAACGGCGTTTCTTGCGGAACCCTCCTAGAACCTGTGCCTTTCTTATAATTCAAAAGCGACACAGCCACCCCAAATTGAATCGCATCGTTGTAAGTGTAGCTTACAGTAAAAAAAAAAAAACTGCTTTCTTTTGGAAAGAACAAACATGATGAAAACTGCTTTGAAGGCTGTCAGTCTTTGCCAACGTTTTTAGATTATCTTGTGGGGTCCGGAGCCCCACAATATTTGACATATCTTTTAAGCGTTGGTGTTTGTGGAACAAGTAACGCCTCAAGCACAGCCATGTTGCATTATTTATTCGTTTTCCTGAGTCATGGCTTTACACAAAAGGACGCCGTTAATTGGACGTGCATTTTTTACTGATGAACAGTGGTACATTCCTTGGTCGTCATCGACTGTATATGAATACCCGAGAAGGGGACCCAACCGAAAAGCCTGAGTTTGTTAGTCATAGCCATGACGACATATATCCTTGCCGATATGACGTCACATGGTTCTCGGTAAGTATACAAAGGTGGACAGCCAGAGGAGTGCACATATCCGAACACTTGAAGTAATGTTGCCTATTCAGTGCTCCATGGTTCTGACGTTCAAGAATTTGTGACCACACCAAAACTGCGTCACGCATGTCTCACTGATATTTCAGTTCCCAGAGCAAAGCTCCCACGTGTGCGTATGCCCGGGATAAAAAGTGTGGGTGAGTACATCGAATTCAGCTTTAATGCGTGGTAAACACCATCTTAGTTGACGAAAGAAAGAAAGGGTGTCACTACGTTGCAAGTAACTGACTTCAGCAAAGCATATAATTCAAGGCAGCTTCGCGTTTGTATTACTGATTCCAAGCAGGTAACCTATGCATGTATGCACTCGGCCCTTCGCGGCCATTAGAGGCCATCGCGTGCGCTGTTGTGAGGTTGCACGTTTACGCGCTGTTCCACGTGTGACGCGATGAGTTATCCCTTCATACTCGCGGTGTCGTCACACCTGGTCCGCTGACGCAAGCAGCAGTTGCGGTAGCGACTAATCTGCGAAAATGCACGAGCGTATCATTGTTTGAAACGCTTTTTGGCAAAGCTAACGCGGAACCCCGTATTCTTCCTCCCGCTTCCGGCTTTTAATAATGAAACAGTCCTTTAGAAAAACTAAAGCAGAAAACTATAATTATTCACAGAGGCTGTAGTCACGCTTAAGAACCGTTCAAAGTGCACCTGAAAAATGGAACGAACATCGTATGTGATATGCCTTACCTGGAGGCACTACTTATGGGTACGGCAATTAAATACCGACCCCTCCTGCCGTCACGAACAATTTTTGTATGGTGCAGCTGTAAACAAATGATTAAAGATAAAGACTTAGGTATTTCATCAGACACAAAACGTCACTGTCAATGTCAGCGGTTACTTTTGACGGTGACTTTGATGACAAAAAACGATGACGCCCTCGGCTATTAGAATGGCGAACTTTGAATGTCATATAATTGTTATCACTAGTACATACAAGGTCTTTTAAATATGCACTCACATAAGACGACTGGAAGAAGAAGGCCATCTTTTTCATGCTCAGTCGATATATTTTTCTTGCCTTGCCATGCTATAAAATAAAGCTTAGAATAAAACAGAGCTTAGCTACGGGATACGTATTAATGCTTAAGAACGAGGCGTGCAAACATGGATGAAATTAAGACAACACAAACGCCTACTTACTACTGAAAATGAGCGAATGGGCAGAAAAGAAAAAAAAAGGCACGAAAAATTGTCTGCGCATACTCATGCAATATGCGAGCCCACCAACGTTGATTGATTGATACGTGGGGTTTAACGTCCCAAAACCACTATATGATTATGAGAGACGCCGTAGTGGAGGGCTCCGGAAATTTAGACCACCTGGGGTTCTTTAACGTGCACCCAAATCTGAGCACACGGGCCTACAACATTTCCGCCTCCATCGGAAATGCAGCCGCCGCAGCCGGGATTTGAAACCGCGCCCTGTGGGTCAGCAGCCGAGTACCTTAGCCACTAGACCGCCACGGCGGGGCAGCCCACCAACGTGGCACACGAGGTCGTCTTGGAGGAATATATAGCTGTCAGCGCATTTGATTTCATCTTTATGCTCGTTAATAAAGATGAAATCAAATGACACAAATTCTAAAACAAGGATGAGTTTAAAGGGCTTCTATAAAACACACCGAACTCAAAGGCGAGACTTTATACATAGTGTTGAAAACTGGGTAAGCTAACAATTCATAGCTGGTCGAGGTTTACCTCGACCAGTGGTGAAACTGCTGTTTCTTTTTTGATTTCACTCCGCAGCGTAGCTAGGGAGTGGCCCATAGCAGCAAGTTGGCAAGTTGGACCAGTTTAATTCAAATTTTGAAACATCAATAACACATGGAACCTGTAACCCCCCTCCCCCCCCCCCCGCATTTTTTTCGCCATGGCACACAGAACGAAAAATGGCCATTTCAAGGGGGTGTTCGTCCCGAAAAACAATTTGGCATACGCTCTGCCGTCACTACCCTTCATATCACCTCCTTGCCGCTTATTTTTTTCATAAAAAAACGCGGTATGTGCAGATGTACGCATTGAGCTAGTCAATATTTCATGCTTTTAGACTACATGCCATGTTAATCCCCCCCCCCCCCCCCACACACACACACAAAAAAAAAAAAAAACCCACACGCTGCCAACTCCGCTCGCGCAGACGCAAACGCAGAAAACGAAGTAAAATCAGTTTATCGCGCTCGGTATTCATACGAGACAAGGCAGACAGGGCATGCGTCTGCATGGCAAATCAGTTACAATTCACAAGAGATATAGCTCGTAAATCGACCAATTAAGAGCTTGTTACGTCTAGACGTCACGTGACAAAACAGCTTGCGTCATGAATTGTGCCACGAAAAAATATTGAAAACACAGAGAGAGAATAACGCGCTTGGTCTTGTTATTTTTCGGGGTGGTTTAGGTGCCATTTGAGAATGTTCAATGACTTGTTGCTTGTTGCCATTCCGCGATTAGACACTCTGACCGCTAAGCTTTCCATTGGGCTATAGGATGGTTGTCGGTTCTCTGAACGTATATCTAAATTTAAGCACACGTACATCTCGGCCTCAGCCGAGTTTGACGTTCTTCGAATTAGCAATCGAGCACAATAACCATTACATCCCCCCAGGGGAGTCATATTTCGCAAATATGGCTGCCTCCTATACAAACAAAAACTCTGCTTTACGTTAGGAATGATTGGCACTTGAAAAACAACTTATCGAATAACAAAATGCCTCTGAGATACTTTGACTCTCTTCACCGCATGCATAAAATATTTTCTTTTAAAGATGCTTAAAAAAAGCACTTATGTTTATGTCTATTTGTATATGACTTCAGGAAAAGCTATAACACACGGAGCAACTGGAGCAGTAAATGCTGTAAGTCAACTTGGAAATACGGGTGAGTAGGATTCCCACATTGTTAACGTAAAGGCTAGCTTTCTGTCAGTTTTAATAGGTGTTATTCATATTAATATTAAGAAATATAGCGAACCATTACTCGGTTCATGCAGGAGGGGTTTTACAAGCGATGTCTTAATCATAAAAAAACATGTGAATAACTTCACAGCAAAACATTTTGACATTCGAGACATGCACTAACAAAACACACAGCTATATTTTGTTGCTTTCTTCAGCTCATTCAGTCTACAGTTTCTATCCTGTGCACGTCTTTAATAACATCTTGTCACCAACGTCGTGAAGTGATTAAAAACGCCAGGCCTGCGCGGAAGGCGCAGCACAGTCACAGCGAAAGCCAGAAGAGCGGCCTTTAAGAGCCTTTTAAAAAACACTCATTAGGTAAGCACTGCAAGTACACTTGCTTGATGCCCACTACGGCATTTATAATAAACACTTGAGTAGTAGGCCGTCATTCGCTTTGCTATTTTTCGTCATTCTTCTGTGAAGCGTGGTATCCGCTAAACACTTGCAAGGAATTTTGTGTCAATTGTTCATGCAGTGGTTGACGACGATGAGGCTGAAGTGGGTATGCACCACAGTTAGTAGGGGAACGAAAACAAGCTTTTGTGAAGGGTTGGAGCATTGGACGGCCCAATCGCTACGCTATTCACATTTTGCGACGACTGGCTGTTCTTTCGCTGTTTTACAACGCTTTATAAGTCGTATCAACGCGATTGCTTTCCCGACATCAAGCCTGCTTAAGGCAAGGTTGCCAACAAGTCACAAGCACCACCGTAGCTCAGTGGTAGGATACTGGGCTGGCGCCCAGTACACCCGGGTTTCGAGCGCAACTGTGTCGTTGTTGTTGTTGTTGCCCCTTCGCACTGGCACATACCCACTATGGGGGATTGGCCATGAAATCTAGAAGTATCCTATATGAGATATATTAAAAGGTTTATCCTTAATGAAAAAACTAATGATGTAATAGAAAATAATAATTAACTAAAAAGGAATATTAAACTAAACAAATAATTGAAGATTGAATCAAGAAGAGAAAAGGTGAGGTAATACTACAGTGGAAGACAGAAATTTTGAGTAGACCAGACAATCGAGCTTATATCACCCGGTCACAATCAAATGAATATGCAAATTTCATTCAAAATTAGACAAGTGTCTTCAGAAATATATTTAAGCAGGCATTATTATGACATGCGCTCTGTGTCTTTGGTGCTAGGTCTTTTTTTTCTAATTTCGCGCGATGTGGTTACGGACAGCGGCGGCGGCGGACAACTGCGCGTTACTAAAGTTGTGATCTTATAACAGCGTTCGCTGTAAAAATATTTTTTTTTCGCGTCATCACGTGATTTCTCGAGATGGCTTTCGTTGTGATATTTTTGTTATTAACTAGGAACGACGAATCTCTCATCGCGAGGTTTGAAGCGTGCGAGAACTTAACTTGAGTTGCCCGACCGCAGTTAACAAATTGTACGATAAAATTAAATAATAGAAAATGATTCAAGCAATAAAACTCCTTAAAGGCCATACTTAGAAGTTCTATCTAAGGTGGCACCAAACTCATATACTGGATTCAGCCTGAATGGAAGCAACGTGGCATTTTTAGTCTTGATGAAACGTCTGCCATATTGTATTTAATATTTCTTCCTTATGAGACTTTCTTCATTTAATTAAAAATATATTTTTTGTTATGACTTTGTGTAACTTTTCACTTCGTGATGCCCTTATTTATTCATATTGTATTGTTTATTTGGTACTTGTAGCGGCAGTATATACATTGCGTACGCGCAACAATGATTAAGGTCAATGCTGCTAAACAAATCAACGCTGCCTAGCAAATTTTCGAAACTTGCAGCTAAGAAGTCCAGTGTCTTGAGTGGCCCACCTACATGATGGCACTGTCAGTGCCATCACGTAGGCAGAAAACTAAATCAACCAAATAAATATTGCAAACGAGGAACAAAAGAAGCAATATTAAGTGACAGCCGTAGCATATTTACTAATCTGATTTTAACCATATCAATCATGTATGTTTAGGGCTTCTATTCAACTGTGCTTGTCTGTTCGAGTGGTAGACTCAGAATGTATATGTTAATGAAATTACAAACAACCCCGCTATGTTTCTGTAAATTTATTTTTAGTTCACGTGAGTCAGGTGCTTTCTAGGAGAATATTTCTGACGGTGGGAAATTAATGCTGGAAACAATTCATAAAGGGCGCGCAATATATGTCACGTGATCTGTCATATTCAAATAACTCACCCGTTTTACCTTCTTTTATAGGGGCCGCTATAGCACAAGCTGTGCTGAGTAATCAGAACCAGAATAATCAAACTTCCAGTGAGTATCAGTAAGGACAGTTATGTTTGGCGCTTGCATGGATGACTCGGCAACGCACAATATGGTGTATTTGATTTGTTGCATTATTTTAATTAAGTACGTAGAAATATGCATAACTAAACTGTTCTTCATCTGCCTGTACTGCAAAAGCTGGCGACACTAAAATGACAACCTTTCAGTAGAAAAATATGTGGCAAACTTTTACAATTCACACCTGTCTGCGAACGCTAACAAGAAGCTGGTAGCTCTGTCAAGAGAAAGAGAAAGAGAAAAAAAGAGGAAGGCGGGGAGGTTAACCAAATGCTAGGATCTGGTACGTTACCCTGCACTGGGGTAGGGAAATAGGGGATTGATAGAAAGAGAGATAAAAAAATAAGTAAGAACAAAACCCGGACACACACACACACATGCACGAAAACGTTCTACTCAGAGTAGTTCAGAGAGGCCAGTGATTTTTCACGACGTACTGGTATTTGTGCCAAATCAACATGAATGCTAATATAGTACGTGATTGAGGACAGGTACTAACCCGCATATCGCGGGATCAAATCCCTACCGCGGCAACCGCATTTTTAATGTAAGCGAAAACATTGTCGTATAGGCAGGATTTTTTTTGGGGGGTGCGAACCAGTCTTGCATCATGCTGGGATGGGGAGGGCTCTGGTGGTGCTTGGGTGAGTGCGAGTACTGGTGTGGCTCGAAGAGGGCAAGGGCTCCTTTTGTGCTTCCCTGCCGACGCCCGTGGGCGAAAATGCTTAAGGCCCATGTGCTTATATTTAGGCCCACGTCAAAGAAACCCAGGAGGTCAAAATTTTCGGAGTCTTCCACTGCGGTGTCTTCCATAATCGCATCCTGGGTTTGAGACTTTAAGCCCCAACAATTACTATTACACTCACTGCCTCGATTAGTCTTAGAGAGAAAAGTACCTGCTAACGCATTGCGGCGACTGGATGATCGGCCACTTTCTGTGCAGGTGCTATTACAGCACCGCCCACATCACTCGACTTCCCTCAAGGCTGTGAAAGCCCTCTTGTACTTTTTGAGGACGATGGGTTTGTGTGAACGCCTCTGACTTGCGGTGGAGTTCTACACGCTGCAGTGAATTTACTGCCCGCCTCTCCCCTTTTCTTTTCCTTCTCTTCCTCTTTCTCATCTTTCCTGTCGTCTTTCCTAAACCCCCAGTGTAGGGTAGCCTACCGAATGTTTTCCTGGTTAACCCCCCTGCCTTCTCCCTTCGTCTGCTTCCTTCTATCATTTATTATCAGAGATTGAGAACAGAGACGTAGCAAGAATATTGATTACACAATGAAAGGGAGACCTATGTGGCATACCGCTTACGTTTGGATGATCGCATAGCGAGAAATACAAAATCAATAAACTTAGTGAACCTCTAGGGTATGTCATTGATAACAATCGTGCTTGCAAGAGCAGGCGCCGAATTGTGCTGAGAATAACTGCACAATTATTGTTTTCATAAGTACATGTTAAACTTGTGTCCCACTGTTCATGTTTATTGCGATTTATTTTTGCACTATATCCGTTACCTCAGGCTTTACATTAGTTTTGACAGCTTGAATAAAAAATTGGCCCCGAATCTGCATGTTACACTGCATATGTCGTCGAAAGACGGTAGTCTTGCGTCTGGAGAGAGCGAAAAAAACGTTTATTCGATATTCTGCACAAGAAAATTGCTGAATGGTATTCTGGAGGCGCTGCGATAGTGCCTTGAGCGTGTAGCGGAGGCGAAAGAGCGCGTCGAGATACGTTAGACACGAGCGCCATCTGGCAGTTGGAAAACGAAGGAAGGCGTGCGCGCCCGCGGAGAAAGATGCGCGCTTGTCTCGGAGGTGGTAAGGTGTAGAACGCAAAACGACGGGCAGGTGCAACAACCGTGTCGTCTTAGCAAAGAGTTGGAAGCACTTAAATTTTTGAGCATCGCGTTGCACTGTCAGCGCAGCGTGACAACCACTACGGTCCTTAGAATTAGTTGTGAGTGCCTTCTCTAATATAAAGGCACACATAAAAAACATCGACGTGTTGTTATGGCGCTTCGGATATGCGCAATAATTGCTTTTTAATTGACAATCGCACAAGTATGAACGCCGTATCTTGAGCAATATTGGTGGGCGCTGAGGATGGGGTCGGCCGTTTGGTGCCATTTGAGGTATCGGTAAGGGTGGATAAACAAACAAATGTACAGACAGACAGACAGACAGACAGACAGACAGACAGACAGACAGACAGACAGACAGACAGACAGACAGACAGACAGACAGACAGACAGACCAAAATTTTTTCGTCGAAGGCCCCCAAGAAAGACTATCGTCTTTAAAAAAAAACAGATGTCTAGAATCATTGTTTATCATGTATTCATATCACACGTATGCGCGTGCTTATACGCTCATAAGTGTCATAGTGACGGCATTTGTTAGATCTCTCTGATTAAACCCACTAATGGCCGGCACTGTATTACCAATCAATAAAATTGCGAATAGGTCACCCCATAACACCTTCGATGGTGATCATGCATGCAAGTGATTATGAATATGGCTTACTTCTTTTGGCACATGAAACAAATCTGGACAAACAGCGCAAGTTTACATGCGATTGGCTACAGTAAATCTGATAAGGGTTGCTGCATGACCGTTTTGAAAATCATAATGGGACAAACTGAAGGTATGCCTCAATGTGAAAACGAGCGCGCGTATTAACTTTGCACCAATTAAGGTAATAAAAGACCAGTTATCACATTTAAATGACGTTACGTGTGACTATAATGTATTATTACAACTCTCTTTGTTCCTGCTCTAAGATTGAGTAATAACGCTGTATTAACAAGTCAATACTGATTCTGAAAAGTAAAAGCTTAGCGCTTTGCTAAATAAACCAACGGAAAGGTTGCATTTCAGCCAAGTGTACGGCATACCCTGTACTACGATAATTCTTCTAAGGACAATATTAGAAAACTCATATTAGGAAAGTTTTGTTTTTTGTAGGCATATGAGAACACCTTGTAGGTGCAATGTCAAAAGGCATGAACTAGCACGCAGAGGTATACAGTTGTCGGAACTGAAGGCTCAATTGTTCATAGCATAATTGTTCAGTGAATGCGTGAACAACCTGTTCTCTCTAAAGTCACGCCAGTATTACTCGAAGAGACAAGATAATGAATAGATGAAAAATGTCAGAAGATTCCTTTCTATAGAGTCATTCATCGCACTATATTAATCTTCTAGTTCTTAATGTGTCACCGTAGCAGTATTTTATACTGACAATGTACATAAATAGGCTGACTGCTTCAGTTTGACAAAATACAGTTCACCTTTATTTTGTTTCAGGAATTTCACCAGCTGCTGTTACGAAAATAAAAAAAATTATGAAACAGATGCCAAATAAATAAAAAAAACAAATACTCCAACGTCACTTCTCCACAGAACTTGTTTCATTTTATGTGGAGCCAGCTTTTAAACGGTAGAAATGAAATTTTAAGCTGATGAATATGTTGGCGAACCAAAAGCTTAAAAGTATGCCACAAAAATGAATGTACAAACTGTGAATGTGCAATAATTTTTTTCTTTTACAAATTTTCAGGCCGCTGAGGATTTCTACATTTGCATGAAAAGTCTCTGTAAATATTTGGGAACCTTACTTGAATGAAGCTCAGAAGAATCGACACCTGTGATTTACTCCTAGAGTGATGACATGAAGTTCATGCCCAGGGGTAAGTCAGTATACTTCGGGTAACTGAGTATACCGAGGTTCAGACTGGGTTAATCCTTCAATAAACATTGAATGGCATTGAAATCTTCGACCAAATAAACGTCGTTCTCATGAATCAAACGTTGTCACTTTCTCTTCTTCTAAGCAGAAATGGCTGAACTACTGGCTCTCACGAATTTTTAAAATTTAAGGCGCGTATACAACGCTAATAAAAGGCGAATGATTTTATAACTTATCTTTCATAAGCTACGGCCTGTAAAGTTTTTTAACGCTAAAAAATACAGTCTTTTCCTCTGATATTTGTCGGAAAGCATGAAAAAGTGATTTTTTCAACCAAAAAATATTTGTTCACACGTGTCCCGCTAACAGTGCTAACACATGTCACACAAGGAAAGAAAACACCACTTATGAAAAAAAAAGCAGACAAGGCTTATGAGACTTGACAGAGGACATCATAAATACAATGCCCCCTAATAAAAAAGGGAACACTATTGTAAGTACCTTAAAGTTCATGGTAGATGAAAAAAAAGACAATAAAGAAGCACTATATCCGAATCTATTGGCTGTTCCACCCCAAGGGACTCATTTAGACGTGCTATTTGCACTACTGCGCAGCATAAGAAAAAAAATCACGCAGAAGTTTTGATTAAATTAATAAATAATAAATAAATAAATAAATAGTTTGTAACATTTACACTGAACTGGTTATGGTTACACTTTGCGTGTGCACAGTTTGTCAAAGTTAGAGACAAAATGTTAGGCTGAAGAATATGTCAGACAAGAGCTGGAATTCGGGCCACGAAGAGGAATGTTAAAGTGCTAATTAAATATTCTGTGGGACGTATGAGAGCTGTTCGACATTCCTACTTTTCAGGATGCTGATTTTCTCTCTCTCTCTCTCTCTCTCTCTCTCTATATATATATATATATATATATATATATATATATATATATATATATATATATACATATATATATACATATATATATATACATATATATATATATATATATATATATATATATATATATATATATATATATATATATATATATATATGATTCAATGGGCCAGTTAGTCTTCGTGAAGGTCCCGAAACTGTTGGGAAATAAATATATTTATCCTTGGACAACGCTCCCGTTGTGCCATATATATATATATATATATATATAGGCAGGCATGGTGGCGAAAATGGCCGTAGCGTTGCAATAAGTCAAGTAGATCCTCCAAGAGAACGGTAACAACGGAAGTGTTTAATTCGACAGTTTCGGCCAGAGTCTGGCCTTCATCAGGAGTCATGGTACATTCTGTTTGCGCTCACATTTATAGTATTTTGGGTAAAAAATGAGAGGGAAGGAACGAAAAAAAAAAAAAAAAAAAAAAAAAAAAAACAGAAAGAAAGAAAGAGTTTGAAAAACGAGAGAGGAAAGGATATCCAGAAAGTTCCAGGTTCCACTGTGCTTCGCGAGTGGCGTCGTCAGTGTGTATTTTCTTAGTATTGCGTTCAGTGCAGTTTGGTGGCGGTCCCTTTATTGTAGACGGGGCCTGGCTAAGGTAAGGGCTTGCGTGTCGCGAAAAATGCTTTTTTTATTATTATTTTTTATTTTTTATTTTTTAAAGACCGTCACTAATTCGGCGTCGGGGACAGCGTTCCGAGGCTCCAGGAAGTCGGCGCGGGAGAAAATGTTTCTTAAGGCGCTGTCTGTCGTTTTGAATGCTATTTTGCTCTGCGAATCCGCGTTTGGGGGTTTTAATTGTGTATGGGGTGGCCCTTCTATATGTCGGGCTTTGTTGTCGAAATGCGGGAAGGGTTTCCAAACTGCGAGAAAGGACGTTTGAAGTGATTGCTATTTTGTACTGGGAAACCGCGTTCGGGGCGTTTAGTTGTGTATGTGGATGTCGGGCTTTGTTGCCAAAATCGGGGAAGGGTTGCCAAAAGGCGAGAAGGGGCGTTTGAAGTGATTGCATTTTGTTCTGGGAATCCACGTTCGGGGCTTTTAGTTGTGCATGCGGTGACCCTTCGACAAGTCGGGCTTACAACTATTGTTCGGTTATTCAGAGAAATAGAAATAGACGACAGTGGTTCACTGAAACACGCAAAGATATTTGTAGTTGTCCAGTCCTCGTCGCCGCCACAGTGCCGCGAAATCTTGAACTGTTATGATTACAATTATAAACTTACATATACACACATACACCCCCATACATATGCGCATATGCATAAGTACATATACACATATAAATGCATATGTATATATTATAGTGCTTTGATTGCTGCAAGTGTACCCGGACTTTCATTTATGCCTTTTTCGAGGGTGTTAAATCGGTGTATGAGGTATGATTCACGTTGTTCACGTTCCCGGTTTGATTTAAATCCTGTTTCTAAAAGTGTGACTGACAATTTGTCGAAGGAGTGGCCGGGAAGGTTAAGGTGTTTTGATAGAGGTAGATTCGGCGCTGATTTCGCGTGGGCTCTGTGATTATTGAAACGAATCCTAAAGGGTGTTTCCGTTTGTCCGATGTATTGCATGCCGCACACGTTGCATTCAAGTAGATATACCACATTAGGGGAATCGCATGTTAGATTTCCTCGTATGTTAATTGAAAAGTTGGATTGTGTGCTGCTTGCCTTGCTTGTATCTCGCATCGCTTTGCATACAAAACATCGAGGCTTCAGACAAGGTCGGCATGAACTGTCGGAAGTTGAAGTATTGATTTGGGAGTTTACAAGTGTGTCTTTGAGGTTGCGTGTTCGTCGGTAAACGACGCCAGGAGCCGATGGGAATGCACGTTTTAGACGTTCACTTTGTTCCAGTATGTTGTAATGTCGTTTAAGGATTTTGTTAACGTTGGGGAAATTCGTGCTGTATGTTAAACATAGGTGTGTCTGTTGCAGGTTGTGTTGTGGTGGCCGCTTCATCAGAAGGTCATCACGCTGAAGTTTTCTAGCTTTTTGAATAGCGTCATCAATTACATGTGGAGGATATTTCTGTTTTTCGAGCACGAGTTTAAGCTTTTGTGAGCTCGCGTGGAAGTCAGTGTCTTTTGAGCAAATTCGCTTAAAACGGTGGGCCTGGCCGTATGGAATGCTGTTTTTACAATGGCGTGGATGATCACTTTGGTAATGGAGGTACTGTTGTCGATCTGTTGGTTTGCGGTAGAGGGTTGTGGAAAGTTTATCATCTTCTATTATTATGGTAACGTCAAGGAAATTTACGGTTACTTGTGAGTAGGTGTGTGTGAAGTGTATGTTTGGATGCACAGTATTGTAAGTATCGATAAAGTTTAGCAGTTCATCCTCGCTGTGAGTCCAAATAAGAAAAATATCGTCAATGTACCGCCTGTATAGGAGTGGTTTCAAGGGAGTTTGGGACAAAAATTCGGTTTCTAGTTCTCCCATAAAAATGTTAGCATAGTTTGGTGCGAGTTTGGTACCCATGGCGGTGCCGCTGATTTGTCGAAAGTACTCTTGGTTGAACTCGAATGAGTTCAGTTCTAATACAAGTCTTGTGAGGCTTGCGATGGCAGAGAAATCTGGGGTGTCAGGTTGTCTATGGTTTGTGTATGTGTTTTTTAATGCCGCTATGCCATCATCGTGGGGAATATTTGTATAAAGTGAAGACACATCAAGGGTAACTAAGTATGAGTGTTTCGGAATGCGCAGGTCTGCAATATCTCGAAGAAAATGTGAGGTGTCTTTTACGTACGACCCGAGAGTGCACGGAATGTGGCCTATTAATTTGTCTACGTACCCTGATATGGGCTCGGTTACTGTGCCTATACCTGAAATGATTGGTCGGCCTGGATTACCGGGTTTATGAATTTTTGGGAGTATGTAGAAGCGCCCTGGACGAGGGTGTACTGGCCGCATTAATTTGTGCTCACTGCGTGTTATTCTTCCCTCGTCCAACAGCTTCTTCAGTTCTGTTGCTACAATACGCGTGTATTTCTCTGTCGGGTCCCCTGGGAGGCGTTCGTAGAATTTTAAGTCGTTTAGTTGACGGTATGCTTCTTGTAGGTAGTCGGTTGTATTTAGGACTACAATTGCCCCTCCTTTGTCAGCGGGCTTTATTATTATATCAGTCCTAGATGTTAGGTTTTGCATACTCTTTTTCTCGGATTTTGTCATGTTTTCCCGCTTTCCCTTCTGTCTGTGATACTCCTGTAATATATCTTTCTGGACCGCGTTAATATATAAGTCCAGACACTTGTCTCGATGACTATTTGGTGTCCAATCGCTTGTTTGGTGGCGGGGAGTCTTTGGAATGTTAGACGGCTTGTCCAAGAAATATTCGTGCAGCCTCAATTTTCTAGCGAAGTTGTCGAGGTCTCGGAGTAAGTGAAACTCATCGAAAGATTTTCTAGTTGGGCAGAAGTTTAGTCCTTTAGATAATAGTTTTACTTCATCAGTTGACAAACTCGTGTCTGATAGGTTTATAATCGCAGCGTCGTAGTGAGTGTTGATAGGTGTTTTCTTGTTTGTGCCGTGAGTTTCCTCGTGGGTGAATGTGTTGTAGTCATACAGTGTAGCGTCTGGTAGTGTGGGGTTGGAAACATTGTCTCTTTTAAGTTTCTGTATTTTAGTTTTCTTGACCTCTTGGTATTTATTCTGTTCGAACTCTGTTAGTAGGGTGATTTCCTCGTTTGATAAGTGGTTGTTGTCGCGCAGAATGGCGTTGGTCATGTTGGTCAGTTTCTTTACTTGTTTTTCACTGTGGTTGATTGCAATTTCTGTTAGCTTGAGTGATGCTTCTAGAAGGACGTTTTGCCATGCGGCCTGGTTGTTTTCGTCGAGATTTGTGGCGGCAGGGGTGATGGAGAGTGTCATTCCTTTGGGGGCTATTCTAGCATTTAGGTATACTTGCAGCGTCGATCTATGCATTGCATGTCTGATTCGTTTATCCGTGAGTTTTCTTACTTTAAGAAAAGTGGCACTGTAACCGGAGAGCAGAGAGCTGGACTTACAGATTGGAAGTCAGTCTTCTTTTGGGCGCGGGGACGGCACTGCAGAAGTCCGCAGGTTGTAGGTGTGTTGTGTAGGCCTTCGTCGTTGAAAGGATGATCCGGGCGTCGAGCTGCTGGCAGGCGTTGAGCTCCGAGCGAGCGTTGAGGGCAGGATGTCCGTGTTGCTCGATGTTTCTTTGGGTGGGGTCGGCAATAGAGCAACACGCCTCTGTTGGTCGGCAGGTTTCACCTCTTGGGAAGGTGCGGTACTGCTGTCGATGACGGTGGGCTGTATCGGGCGTCGAGGTGTTATACTTTCAACGATCGTTGGGAACTCTGTCGTGGTGTCAGAGGTCTGCAGTGCTCCGGGAACGTGTTGGTGACTTCTGGTTCCCTGGTGATATTCTTCTGTTCGCATTTGGATGGGAGTGGTAGGTTGGGATGACCACCCCGCGGCAGGCTCGAGGTTCCCGCGATATATTGCCCCTTTCAGCGTTTGAGCAATGAGTGCTACCCCCATGAAGCTCGGATGTAGTCCGTCCGCAGCAAGGAAACGTCTGGCTGGCAGTTGGTCGAATTCATAGTCGATGTATGACACCTTGCCCGGTTTCCGGCAGTACGTCTTGATTGTCTCATTAAAGTGACGAGCTTCCCTGTTGAAGCGGTGGACGAATTTCTCGTTGGAACGTTGTAGGCGCCTGTTGGTGGATCGTGGTGGCACACATGAGACAATTAGTCTGTCAAGTTCCGGGCGTCTTTGAAGAGTGTTATTTACCAGGCGGCGAAGGCGGCGAAGGGACTCATCCGGCCCGTACAGTTCCAATTCGCTCGTCCCCACGTGGAAAACGAGCGTGGTTACTGAGCGTGGCACATTTGCCAGCTCATCTTCAATATCGAAAGTGGATGCTCCGCGGATCGTTATGAATGCCGGTGTTGACTTGTCGTAGGGGTTGAAGTGTCGATGAAGGTATCTCGTTTGTGAATTTCCAATGATAGCTGTACTTGGTGCATGTTTAGGAAATTTCCGTGATACTTTTTCCGCTGGAGGTGCGCCGGTGGCCGGTCTGGAGTAGGCAGGCATGGTGGCGAAAATGGCCGTAGCGTTGCAATAAGTCAAGTAGATCCTCCAAGAGAACGGTAACAACGGAAGTGTTTAATTCGACAGTTTCGGCCAGAGTCTGGCCTTCATCAGGAGTCATGGTACATTCTGTTTGCGCTCACATTTATAGTATTTTGGGTAAAAAATGAGAGGGAAGGAACGAAAAAAAAAAAAAAAAAAAAAACAGAAAGAAAGAAAGAGTTTGAAAAACGAGAGAGGAAAGGATATCCAGAAAGTTCCAGGTTCCACTGTGCTTCGCGAGTGGCGTCGTCAGTGTGTATTTTCTTAGTATTGCGTTCAGTGCAGTTTGGTGGCGGTCCCTTTATTGTAGACGGGGCCTGGCTAAGGTAAGGGCTTGCGTGTCGCGAAAAATGCTTTTTTTATTATTATTTTTATTTTTTATTTTTTAAAGACCGTCACTAATTCGGCGTCGGGGACAGCGTTCCGAGGCTCCAGGAAGTCGGCGCGGGAGAAAATGTTTCTTAAGGCGCTGTCTGTCGTTTTGAATGCTATTTTGCTCTGCGAATCCGCGTTTGGGGGTTTTAATTGTGTATGGGGTGGCCCTTCTATATGTCGGGCTTTGTTGTCGAAATGCGGGAAGGGTTTCCAAACTGCGAGAAAGGACGTTTGAAGTGATTGCTATTTTGTACTGGGAAACCGCGTTCGGGGCGTTTAGTTGTGTATGTGGATGTCGGGCTTTGTTGCCAAAATCGGGGAAGGGTTGCCAAAAGGCGAGAAGGGGCGTTTGAAGTGATTGCATTTTGTTCTGGGAATCCACGTTCGGGGCTTTTAGTTGTGCATGCGGTGACCCTTCGACAAGTCGGGCTTACAACTATTGTTCGGTTATTCAGAGAAATAGAAATAGACGACAGTGGTTCACTGAAACACGCAAAGATATTTGTAGTTGTCCAGTCCTCGTCGCCGCCACAGTGCCGCGAAATCTTGAACTGTTATGATTACAATTATAAACTTACATATACACACATACACCCCCATACATATGCGCATATGCATAAGTACATATACACATATAAATGCATATGTATATATTATAGTGCTTTGATTGCTGCAAGTGTACCCGGACTTTCATTTATGCCTTTTTCGAGGGTGTTAAATCGGTGTATGAGGTATGATTCACGTTGTTCACGTTCCCGGTTTGATTTAAATCCTGTTTCTAAAAGTGTGACTGACAATTTGTCGAAGGAGTGGCCGGGAAGGTTAAGGTGTTTTGATAGAGGTAGATTCGGCGCTGATTTCGCGTGGGCTCTGTGATTATTGAAACGAATCCTAAAGGGTGTTTCCGTTTGTCCGATGTATTGCATGCCGCACACGTTGCATTCAAGTAGATATACCACATTAGGGGAATCGCATGTTAGATTTCCTCGTATGTTAATTGAAAAGTTGGATTGTGTGCTGCTTGCCTTGCTTGTATCTCGCATCGCTTTGCATACAAAACATCGAGGCTTCAGACAAGGTCGGCATGAACTGTCGGAAGTTGAAGTATTGATTTGGGAGTTTACAAGTGTGTCTTTGAGGTTGCGTGTTCGTCGGTAAACGACGCCAGGAGCCGATGGGAATGCACGTTTTAGACGTTCACTTTGTTCCAGTATGTTGTAATGTCGTTTAAGGATTTTGTTAACGTTGGGGAAATTCGTGCTGTATGTTAAACATAGGTGTGTCTGTTGCAGGTTGTGTTGTGGTGGCCGCTTCATCAGAAGGTCATCACGCTGAAGTTTTCTAGCTTTTTGAATAGCGTCATCAATTACATGTGGAGGATATTTCTGTTTTTCGAGCACGAGTTTAAGCTTTTGTGAGCTCGCGTGGAAGTCAGTGTCTTTTGAGCAAATTCGCTTAAAACGGTGGGCCTGGCCGTATGGAATGCTGTTTTTACAATGGCGTGGATGATCACTTTGGTAATGGAGGTACTGTTGTCGATCTGTTGGTTTGCGGTAGAGGGTTGTGGAAAGTTTATCATCTTCTATTATTATGGTAACGTCAAGGAAATTTACGGTTACTTGTGAGTAGGTGTGTGTGAAGTGTATGTTTGGATGCACAGTATTGTAAGTATCGATAAAGTTTAGCAGTTCATCCTCGCTGTGAGTCCAAATAAGAAAAATATCGTCAATGTACCGCCTGTATAGGAGTGGTTTCAAGGGAGTTTGGGACAAAAATTCGGTTTCTAGTTCTCCCATAAAAATGTTAGCATAGTTTGGTGCGAGTTTGGTACCCATGGCGGTGCCGCTGATTTGTCGAAAGTACTCTTGGTTGAACTCGAATGAGTTCAGTTCTAATACAAGTCTTGTGAGGCTTGCGATGGCAGAGAAATCTGGGGTGTCAGGTTGTCTATGGTTTGTGTATGTGTTTTTTAATGCCGCTATGCCATCATCGTGGGGAATATTTGTATAAAGTGAAGACACATCAAGGGTAACTAAGTATGAGTGTTTCGGAATGCGCAGGTCTGCAATATCTCGAAGAAAATGTGAGGTGTCTTTTACGTACGACCCGAGAGTGCACGGAATGTGGCCTATTAATTTGTCTACGTACCCTGATATGGGCTCGGTTACTGTGCCTATACCTGAAATGATTGGTCGGCCTGGATTACCGGGTTTATGAATTTTTGGGAGTATGTAGAAGCGCCCTGGACGAGGGTGTACTGGCCGCATTAATTTGTGCTCACTGCGTGTTATTCTTCCCTCGTCCAACAGCTTCTTCAGTTCTGTTGCTACAATACGCGTGTATTTCTCTGTCGGGTCCCCTGGGAGGCGTTCGTAGAATTTTAAGTCGTTTAGTTGACGGTATGCTTCTTGTAGGTAGTCGGTTGTATTTAGGACTACAATTGCCCCTCCTTTGTCAGCGGGCTTTATTATTATATCAGTCCTAGATGTTAGGTTTTGCATACTCTTTTTCTCGGATTTTGTCATGTTTTCCCGCTTTCCCTTCTGTCTGTGATACTCCTGTAATATATCTTTCTGGACCGCGTTAATATATAAGTCCAGACACTTGTCTCGATGACTATTTGGTGTCCAATCGCTTGTTTGGTGGCGGGGAGTCTTTGGAATGTTGGACGGCTTGTCCAAGAAATATTCGTGCAGCCTCAATTTTCTAGCGAAGTTGTCGAGGTCTCGGAGTAAGTGAAACTCATCGAAAGATTTTCTAGTTGGGCAGAAGTTTAGTCCTTTAGATAATAGTTTTACTTCATCAGTTGACAAACTCGTGTCTGATAGGTTTATAATCGCAGCGTCGTAGTGAGTGTTGATAGGTGTTTTCTTGTTTGTGCCGTGAGTTTCCTCGTGGGTGAATGTGTTGTAGTCATACAGTGTAGCGTCTGGTAGTGTGGGGTTGGAAACATTGTCTCTTTTAAGTTTCTGTATTTTAGTTTTCTTGACCTCTTGGTATTTATTCTGTTCGAACTCTGTTAGTAGGGTGATTTCCTCGTTTGATAAGTGGTTGTTGTCGCGCAGAATGGCGTTGGTCATGTTGGTCAGTTTCTTTACTTGTTTTTCACTGTGGTTGATTGCAATTTCTGTTAGCTTGAGTGATGCTTCTAGAAGGACGTTTTGCCATGCGGCCTGGTTGTTTTCGTCGAGATTTGTGGCGGCAGGGGTGATGGAGAGTGTCATTCCTTTGGGGGCTATTCTAGCATTTAGGTATACTTGCAGCGTCGATCTATGCATTGCATGTCTGATTCGTTTATCCGTGAGTTTTCTTACTTTAAGAAAAGTGGCACTGTAACCGGAGAGCAGAGAGCTGGACTTACAGATTGGAAGTCAGTCTTCTTTTGGGCGCGGGGACGGCACTGCAGAAGTCCGCAGGTTGTAGGTGTGTTGTGTAGGCCTTCGTCGTTGAAAGGATGATCCGGTTGAGCACTCATTGCTCAAACGCTGAAAGGGGCAATATATCGCGGGAACCTCGAGCCTGCCGCGGGGTGGTCATCCCAACCTACCACTCCCATCCAAATGCGAACAGAAGAATATCACCAGGGAACCAGAAGTCACCAACACGTTCCCGGAGCACTGCAGACCTCTGACACCACGACAGAGTTCCCAACGATCGTTGAAAGTATAACACCTCGACGCCCGATACAGCCCACCGTCATCGACAGCAGTACCGCACCTTCCCAAGAGGTGAAACCTGCCGACCAACAGAGGCGTGTTGCTCTATTGCCGACCCCACCCAAAGAAACATCGAGCAACACGGACATCCTGCCCTCAACGCTCGCTCGGAGCTCAACGCCTGCCAGCAGCTCGACGCCCGGATCATCCTTTCAACGACGAAGGCCTACACAACACACCTACAACCTGCGGACTTCTGCAGTGCCGTCCCCGCGCCCAAAAGAAGACTGACTTCCAATCTGTAAGTCCAGCTCTCTGCTCTCCGGTTACAGTGCCACTTTTCTTAAAGTAAGAAAACTCACGGATAAACGAATCAGACATGCAATGCATAGATCGACGCTGCAAGTATACCTAAATGCTAGAATAGCCCCCAAAGGAATGACACTCTCCATCACCCCTGCCGCCACAAATCTCGACGAAAACAACCAGGCCGCATGGCAAAACGTCCTTCTAGAAGCATCACTCAAGCTAACAGAAATTGCAATCAACCACAGTGAAAAACAAGTAAAGAAACTGACCAACATGACCAACGCCATTCTGCGCGACAACAACCACTTATCAAACGAGGAAATCACCCTACTAACAGAGTTCGAACAGAATAAATACCAAGAGGTCAAGAAAACTAAAATACAGAAACTTAAAAGAGACAATGTTTCCAACCCCACACTACCAGACGCTACACTGTATGACTACAACACATTCACCCACGAGGAAACTCACGGCACAAACAAGAAAACACCTATCAACACTCACTACGACGCTGCGATTATAAACCTATCAGACACGAGTTTGTCAACTGATGAAGTAAAACTATTATCTAAAGGACTAAACTTCTGCCCAACTAGAAAATCTTTCGATGAGTTTCACTTACTCCGAGACCTCGACAACTTCGCTAGAAAATTGAGGCTGCACGAATATTTCTTGGACAAGCCGTCTA